TGTACCCCGCCACCCCGCCCCGCCCTGCCTCGACTTTCATCCAGGTCTATCGCCTTGCCTCCTGCCTGCCATGAGCTTTCACTGCCATGGCACCGCGCAGCGCCGCGCGCCGTGGGTGCGACAAAGATGCATGAGGCGGTGTCAAACGCACGGCACGGTGTTACACACGAGCAAGAGTGTTGGGAGGGACCACTGGGGGACCAGGCAGCCCCAGACACGCGTTTGAATCGTTTTTGTTTGCCCTTCAAAGCAAAACATTTCTGGGGAGATTTCCTCCCCGAGCGGAGAGGTGACTAAAGGCGGCGCGCGAAGACGCCCCACCGCTGCCGAGATCTCGGCGTTGATAGCGGTAAGGCCCCTGTTTGTGCAGATAGCGGTGGCGGCATGTGACCTGGCGGCCCATCCGCGTGCATCCCGTGGCGTCCGCCCCCGGGCCGCCCCCGGGCCAGCCACCCCCGCGCGCCGGGCCTCCCGGCCAAGCGCGGGGCGTGCGGCTCAAAAGTAAACAAACGGGGACCGTCTTTTCACGCGGTCACTCACTCTTTTCAGCGGGAAAAAAATAAAGCACAATTCTCACCGGAGTGAATCGTCTTCGCGCGCGTTGTGTGTTCTTAGTTTTGTTTTCGTTTTAACTTTTTATATTTTGAATTTCGTTGGCGACCGGCGAGGTCGTTACTTGTTCCATATCGCGGCGGCACCACGGTGGCACGCAGCGCGGGGAAAGTCGTCTCCCAGCGCCGCGGCGCCGGCCGTAGGAGGAGGACAAAAAAAAAACCTCCAATACAAGGCGAAAAGTAAACAGAAATACTCATGTCAGAAGCCTTGCGAGCGGCTTAAGAGTCCTATATCACCATCAGCAGCACTAAGTACCCAAGGGACCAGGGTGGGGTATGGCACAACGGCCGTTAAGGCACAACGATCGACTCGTAACAGTCTTATCATAATTACCTGGTGGGAGAGATATTCCGTATTCCTTATTGCGGGGCAATCGCCGTGATGATTCACTTTCACGCACTTCCTCGGCGTCCCACTTTATTTCGAACTGGCCCTTTACTTTTGTTTCTTCTCTCTTCCCGCAGCGGCGAGTGTAGCTTTGGCGCAGGCGCGCAGGCGAGCGCAGCTGGGAGTTCCCTCAACGGGACCGTGCGGCTCACCGTGCGGCACAGCGGGCCGGGCCGGCTCAACACAACACACACAACACAAGCGGCGCGCGTACGCACGCAGGCGCGCACGCACAACCACACACACACACGCACAAACACGCGCACGGAAACACACGCAAAGGCACGCGGGAACCGACACGACGCGGAACCGCACTTTTTTTTTTCGCGAAAAACGCAAAACGCGACGTACACGACGACGGACTCGGTGACGGCGACGCTCGTGTCACTCACTCCCGTGTCACCCACTCCCGCGAGCGCTCACGCACTACTCGAGCTCAGTCCCGGTCTGGTCCGACCCGTTGAACAGGCCAGCAGTCACTGGCCTCCCGGCGGTACTGGCGGCGGCACGGGCACGGCGGCGCAGCGGCCTCAGCTCGGCCCCGCCGCGCCCCGCGCCCCGCCGCCGCCCGCCGGCCCACGGCCTGCCAGCCGGGAGGTACTCACACACACACTCCCACCGCAGCAACCGCCGCCGCACTGGTCCTCGAGATCGTCCTGATCTTGGTGATCCTTGGTCTAGACGGACGGGTTTGCCTACCGCGACTGTAAGCCGCACTATTTGTGGAGCCTTCCTGCCTCATGGCCCCTGGTGAGTCGGCAAAGCGACCACACGCCTGCATGGCAAGTTGCATGCAGGCCGTTTTCCTCATCAGAAACAGGGGTCCGCGTTCGCCATGCCCGCCTCTGTCCACCCGGACAAAGGTGTCCACCTCCACCAACTGAACTTGCTGACGGTAAAAGGTCCCACACATAGAAAACGGTTTCTTTAATTCTATGAAGTTGGAGGAAAAAGAAAGATTTACTGCTATTCAAAGAAATTTTCGTGAATGTTTAGAAAGATCCCCTTGAAATAAAGGCAAAACTTTCCCTCCTCAATTTAGGTTGAAATTTTCTTGAATCCAAGAAACCTTTTTCTGTGTGCATAGTGGATGGGCGCGTTGTGCCCGGGCGTACAAGTGTGGACAGCTGCGGACACATTGGACACGGACACGTACACTGCGTCCAGAGTGGGCGTGGGTGAGTCGTCTTACAAACATCCTAAAAGTAAATTTTGTAGTTGATATCAAGACCATATGGTCTCTGACAATGAAACCTTTGGTCAGACACTTGTTGACGGCAAGTGTAGTGGTGGCGCTGACCGCGACCGCGTCTTCGAGAGGATTAGGCGAGGGGCTCACCCGGTTAAGACCCGTTTGTTTATGGTCGTAGTCGATCCATCGATCCACACACTGGATAAACCTAGTTAAGCACCAATTACTTTCACATGGCGGGTAGCCCGGGCTCACGACAGTACGTCTGGGTTTTATTAGGGGGCACTATCAGTGGCCGCCAAGCGGCAAAACATCGTCCCTGAGCCCTGAGTACCAACCGCACTGTTAAAAAGGTCTTGGGATTTCCCGAAGATTCACTTTCAACCACTACTAGAAATTCCCAGAGGACTCCGTTCTTAGTTTTCATGTCGGAAAGCAGCCGTTGAAGGTTAGATAGTTATTAGTCGCCTGTATGTCTCGAAGCTAAACTCGGCACGTGAAATCTACAGAGTCCTTTGGGAAATCCCAAAGGACTTTGGCAATATTTTTCACGAGTGTTCCTCCGTGAAATCCCAGAACGTTTTTTAACAGTGTATGTCTTTAGTTGAGTTGGACATAACTGTGTGTGCAGGAGGTTTTTTAAAGTTGTGAAAATTTAAAAAACGTCTCGCGCCCACAGTTACGTTTAAGTATAGACGTATTATACCTTAAAAGAACCGCAATAAACTAACTTAGATAGAAATAGAGAGCTTTTTCTCAATTTAATTAGCATCTAGATTTTAAACTCAAAATAGCGGTTTTTCGACCGACTTTTCTAGTTTCAGCCCTGTTTTACCTTAAGCTAACACAGGCAAAAATGGGGTCATAGAGATAAGACGACATACACAACACGATGCTTCCGCTTCACGGTTCGAAATGGTATTAACAGTGCTATGTCAAGGCTAGGCTGAATATTTTTCAAAAGCGAAAGACAAATAACTGAAAAATTTAGACGACAGTGTATGAATGGATGGCGCACTTCTCTTTTGGCGAGAATTTGGTTCGTGAAAATGTTGTCTCAGTGCTGAGTAGGGGAGGAGCTTCGGGAATCGGGAACGAGGAAGATCTCGGCGAGGAGGGGGCTCTGCGGGGCAGTCGAGTGCGTCTAATGCGCCGCTGGGAGAAGCCCGCAGTGTTCGGGTTTATTTCTCATCAAAGACGCGACGACGACGGCGAAGATGCGCTTCGATTCATAGAGCAGATCGCCGCGCCGCCGCTCGTCACCGTCGCAAAGAGCGCGAGACGTTACCCACCGCGCAAAAACCAGAGAGAAAGTTTGAAACGTTGTTTTTCAACTACCATCACCACAAAAGCAGATTTCTTGGACTAAGTATAAATTGTACCTGCCCCTTGATTTTTCAATTGCAAATGTCCTGTTTCATTAGTGATGTTACTTTTTAAAACTCATAGGTCACTGTACTAGGTCCAAGAATTCAGTATTCTGGTTACACAATCGACAATAAAAACTCACTGAAATTCAACTAAACTTGAACTATGCGAACCTTTATGATTTTTTGATTTCTTTTTTTTTTGAAATTGCAAATTTTGAATTGCGCCCCAAAACGAACCTTAGCGCTGCTGCCGCCTAGATCAGGCCAGGAAGGGCACGCGCGCCGGCGCACGTACCGGCACGTACACGCGCGACCCTCGCGCCAGTAAACTAACTTATATGGCGCGAGAATCGCTCGATTCGGAACATGACGGCCGGGCATATCAGAGGGCCGGGGCGCGGCGGGGCGAGGCGGGGCGTAGTGGGGAGGGCGGGTAGGGGCTGTTCTGGATCGGGGAGCTGCTCGGGCTGCTCGCCGGTGCGCATACCAAGGAGATGGCAAGTCGATATGGCTCGGTCGAGGATTTGCGTCCCCGACGCGTCCTCCCGCCACGCTCGGTCCTTTCCTGACACCGAGCCAACGGTAAGCCCGACTGCAAACCCGAAACCAAAGCCCGACGGAGAAGTCAAAAAGCTAACACAATATAATGAAGACGAGATGTAAAAAGGCTGGCCTGCATGCGACACGACAACTAACAACCCTCCTCAGGTTGACCAGGAAAGGCGAAAGCCGGGGAGGGCCGAGCCCAGCAAGCGGGAGACGGCCAAAAAGAGATCCGAGAGTGGCATGCAAAGGATAGGCCAGGGCCAGCATCACCAGCGAGTGTAAACAAACATCTGCAGGCCGCCACAGGCCGGGCTACGGAGGGTACAGCGGGGTACGTAGAGGCGCGCGGCGAGGCCTTGGCAGGACCAAGGATATGTGCCGGATTTATCTGTGACCTGCAGCACTGTATGTGTCGGAGCGACAGAGACAGAGTTGGCAAGTTGCATGCAGGCCGTTTTCCTCATCAGAAACAGGGGTCCGCGTTCGCCATGCCCGCCTCTGTCCACCCGGACAAAGGTGTCCACCTCCACCAACTGAACTTGCTGACGGTAAAAGGTCCCACACATAGAAAACGGTTTCTTTAATTCTATGAAGTTGGAGGAAAAAGAAAGATTTACTGCTATTCAAAGAAATTTTCGTGAATGTTTAGAAAGATCCCCTTGAAATAAAGGCAAAACTTTCCCTCCTCAATTTAGGTTGAAATTTTCTTGAATCCAAGAAACCTTTTTCTGTGTGCATAGTGGATGGGCGCGTTGTGCCCGGGCGTACAAGTGTGGACAGCTGCGGACACATTGGACACGGACACGTACACTGCGTCCAGAGTGGGCGTGGGTGAGTCGTCTTACAAACATCCTAAAAGTAAATTTTGTAGTTGATATCAAGACCATATGGTCTCTGACAATGAAACCTTTGGTCAGACACTTGTTGACGGCAAGTGTAGTGGTGGCGCTGACCGCGACCGCGTCTTCGAGAGGATTAGGCGAGGGGCTCACCCGGTTAAGACCCGTTTGTTTATGGTCGTAGTCGATCCATCGATCCACACACTGGATAAACCTAGTTAAGCACCAATTACTTTCACATGGCGGGTAGCCCGGGCTCACGACAGTACGTCTGGGTTTTATTAGGGGGCACTATCAGTGGCCGCCAAGCGGCAAAACATCGTCCCTGAGCCCTGAGTACCAACCGCACTGTTAAAAAGGTCTTGGGATTTCCCGAAGATTCACTTTCCACCAGTATTATAAATTCCCAGAGGAGTCCGTTCTTAGTTTTTGTGTACTAAAACAGATGTTGAAGGTGGAAGTTTTCATTCGTCTTCATGTTTCAAAGCTAAACTCGACACGTGAAATCTACAGAGTTCTTTGGGAAATCCCAAAGGACTTTGGCAATACTTTTCACGAGTGTTCCTCCGTGAAATCCCAGGATTTTTCCTAACCGTGTTTTAAAATGACGAGAAATGAATACGTACGTAAAATGACGACCAATAATTTGTAACTCACTTGTTATACTAAAAGAACAATTCCGAGGGGGCAATAACTCCGGGAATCATGTGTACACCTATCTGGGAATCACCAGGATAAAAGTTGATCAAAATCAATAGAAATCGCTTAGAATAAGCGGGAAACTAGAGAGATAAGTACAAATCAGTCGAAATAAGCGTTTTATACCACTAAACCCCCCCGAAAAACCTATGTAATACTTATAAGCGGACGGGAATCACAGGGAATCAAGAATTTCGGGAATCATGTGTACACTTCAAAAGGGAGTTATTGCCCCCTCGAACAATTCAAAACACTAGCACTTTTGAAACACTAAAAACACCCTGATCAATTGAAATTATTGTTATCGTGAAATGACGAAATTCATTAACATCGCTGAACTCGAGCCTGCCCC